CCCCCCCATCAACGTGCCCCCCCCCCCCCAAGATTCTGTTAAGGGCTTGCTTATATTGCATTTATTTGTAATTTTTCTTAATCTCTTTCTAGCTGTAATAGTTCAGTCTCAACTTCTCTTGGATGACCTTGTTACTTCTAAAGACTATGAAGTTACTGTGTGTATAATATCCCTTAATTTGGGCTTCATGATTGAAATAACAAAATGTTAATAATATTCAGTGCTTGGGATTTTGCACTGTGAATTATATCCTGAACCTAAATTGAAAGTCTCTGTCAAAAGAGGACATTTACTTGTTTGGTATTTTAAATATAAAGGAAATAATGTTTTTGAATATTTGTCTGACTTTTTATAGCTACTTCAGAATTTTGGTTCAGCAGTTTGAGGTACAGCTTCAGCAGTATAGACAGCAGATTGAAGAACTAGAAAACCATCTTGCCACTCAAGCAAATAATTCACATATAACTCCTCAAGGTAACATCCTTACTGGTAATTTTTGTGATAGCACTATTGATGAGAGATTAAACTCTTGTATAGTAGGTATACAAACAACTACTTGTGGTTGTTTTAAACTACTTTAAGAACATTTCCTTAAAAGTCCTGGATAAGTCTTTATTCCCTGTAAATATAGAATGTTTTTTGTAAACTGTTAACTGTGGTAACAGAGGCAGAAGTCCTAGAATCTCTACCCAGGTTACTGGTGTAGGTCTCCTCTCAAGTTTCTTGGCCTGCCAACTTCTTTACCCATAAGACACATTGATGGAATTGTTCCCCCATACATACCCTATACATATGCATTAGACCAGAGTAATAGAAAAACAAATTGTTACATGTTTGTTTTATAATTTTGTCTTACAGATTTATCAATGGCTATGCAGAAAATTTATCAAACATTTGTAGCTTTAGCTGCACAACTTCAGTCTATTCATGAAAATGTAAAGGTAAGAGTCACTGATAATTCACCTCTGCATCCAAATCTTTGTCCATATGGGAGCACGTGACCATGTTGCAGAAATAGCTCAAATTACATTAAGCGAATGCTTAGACTGCTATAACTCATAATCACACCCACACAAAGCTGGACAGGGTGGTGCACACCTTTAATCCCAGCACTCGGGAGGCAGAGACAAACAGGCAGCCTGGTCTACATAGTTCCAGACCAATTGAGACCCTGTCTCAAAAAAAACCCGAAAAAACCCCCAAAAAAAACCTAAAACAAAAACCAAAAACTTTTTAAAAGGAATTCAAATGCCCTATGTAACCCATTTGTTTTAGCTTTTTTCAGTAGTACATTGGGAATATCTTGCATGTTAATACACATTACCCTCAACATCACTTTTGGTAATTGCACCGGAGTCATTGTCTGTGCTGCTTGTCTGATGTGAGCATTCAGATCATTTCCATCTCTTCACCAGTATAAATAGCACTCTAGAAAATAAGCATTCCTAGTAGCAAATCCTTTTTTGCTCTGACTCAATCCTTGTGTATTTTAAATTTTTATTGGCCACAGCATTAAAAAAAAAAAAAAACTTGGACACTGGGTGTAGTGGCACACGCCTTCAGTTCTAGCACTTGGGAGGCAAAGGTAGGTGGATCTCTGAGTTTGAGGCCAGCCTGGCCTACGCAGTGAGTTCTAGGCCAGCTGGGGCTACATAGTGAGATCCTGTCTCAAACAAACAATAACAGAAAACTTGGTTATTGTACAGTGAGACATCAGAAGGGGTGCATCATGATCTATGTCACCACCTTTCTCTATAAAATCTACTGTGGAGGGTACCTAACCATCGGCCGTATGTTGGGTAGCCACACCATCTGACCCTTTTACTGCATTGTGGCTGTTCACAAGTGTCCTAGGGATGGCTGCTTCATGAAGCAGTTGGGCTTCTATCATCCACTGCCCAACAGAATATAGAAAAACGGGTTGTCTTCAACTGGGACATGATCTGGCATTGGATTGGCTATGTGGCTCACCTCCCTAAGCCTATGGAGAAACTTACGGGACTTTCTGACTTTTCCCTCTCTATCCTATGATCACAAATGCTGAGACACTTCAAAGAAAACAGACACGTGAAGATCTGTTAGCTTACATATACAACCTACAGAAATAGAAACAAACTGACTTCAGGAAACACAGCTGTGGTTATAAGGTCAAAGGTTTTAAAATTCTTGTGAATTTCTCATGATTTTGTTCTTGGGTTTGAGGGTCAATAACTGAAGTTTTCCAAGTCAAACAGCAACTTGGTTACATTTCATTTAAGTTTTTAAAAAATTTTTATTATTTTTATTTTATGTGTATGAGTGTATTGCCTGCATGTATGTGAGTGCACCCGTGTTGTGCACTGCCATGAAGGTCAGAAGAGGGCTTTGGATTCCCTTGGAACTGGAGTTAAGGCCGGTTCATAGCTGCCATGTGGGTGCTAGGAATTGAACCCAGGTTTTCTGCAAGAGCAGTCAGTGCTCTTAACTGCTGTGCCATCTCTCCACCCCCTCCTTTAAGGTTGTTTGTTTTATTTCATTACAACAGCATTGACATAGTCAATAACAATTTCCTGAGTTAAGATGCATCTCTTTCAAAATTGGCTGTAAATTTTTAGGTTTACAGTTGAATTATTACAGTTATACAATATTGTACTCAGTATAAGCCATGTAAGACATTAAATTGAATGAATTTTTAACCTTTAAAAAAGATCTCCATTTCATTATTAAAATACAGTTTCATACAGAAAAATTCATTTTTAATGCAATTGACATTAAGATGTTTGCACATGCGTTTCTAATCTCTATATATCTGATTATTACTAGTCACAGTCAGTTACTTTCTGAGCTCCTTGGCATCTGAGTATGGATATAAAGTCATCAAGTAGATTTCAGTGGTAATGTTTTTCACATCTGCTAATTATTAACAAGCAAATTTTTATGCTTTGAAGAATTATTTTTTAATCATTATTTTTTAAAAAATTTAATAACTACATGATTACAAGAAGCATTTCACTACAGCTTTAACATATTCAGTAACATACTCCAGAGCAAGAGTACATCTCTTTCACAAGCGGGTGCAAGTTTCTAGGTTCACAGTTGAATTAATACAGTTATATGTTACTGAACTCAGTATAAGCCCTGTTAGACATAAAATTGGATGAGTTTTTAACCTTTAAAAAAGATCTCCATTTCATTTTAGAATATATTGTTCCTTGCAGAAAGACTCCTTGTTTTTGCTACTAACACTTAGATGTTGGCGCATGCATCTCTAATCTGTACGTATCTGATTGTTACTAATAATCGGTTGCACTTGGATCGCTGGCGCCTGTGTATGTCTATAAAGTCATTGGGTAGATTTCAGTGGTAACATTTATCACCTCTACTAATTAGCATGATGTAAATTTCCATGCTTTCTCCTCAAATATAATACATTTTAAAAAATTTTGTTGATTTGTATGTGTGTGTGTGTGCGTGCGTACGTGCGTGTGTATCACGTAGAACATCCCAAACCGTCTTACTCAACTGTGCTCCCACTTCCCAGATGGCACCCTCCCCTAGCCTCCCTCCTCCCATCAGAGCCCTTATACTCTGATATCCCTGCTACTGTCTGCTGTGTTGTCGGCACCCCCAGCCATTCCCCACTACTT